TAAACCCTAAACTCTAAACCCAAGACTCTAAACGAAGCCCGGGGACCTTGGGAGGTGTGGTCGGCTCGTGGGAGCATCCCGGACTTGCCTTGAGACATACGGTTTAGGGTTCAGGGGTTTANNTTTAGGGGCTTTGGGTTTAGGGGTGTAGGGTTTAGTGTTTAGGGTTCTTGAGGGGCTCCTCTCAAAGGGCTTCTTCAGGGTCCAAAGGAACCCAAACTCCTTAAACCGTAAACCCTAAACCCCAATAATTGGGCACTTAGGTTTCGGACAGTAGTTGCGTAGGTTAGTATTTGGGGAAGTATAGAGGGACCCCGAGGGTCTATGTACCCAAACTTTGGCCCTAAAGTTGTCTCTGTGTAGCTGCTTTGGGGCCACAGTATATACTAGTTGGGTACATGAACCCTTAGGTTTAGGGTGCTTCACTAATGTGGGTTATAACTATACTTGGCCTACTCTTAACCCCACTTATGACTACCCATGAACCTCCAAGTAAGCCCCGATCCCGAAACCCTAAACGGCCTTGACCAAGGAATCGGCTGGCGGCGTCAGGGAACATGCGATTCGTACCTCGTCTTGCCTAATGTCTCGGGCCTGACCATGGCATGGAGCAAGCCCTTAGGGTTTAGGGTTTAGGGTTTAGGGGTTAGGGGTTTAGGGTTTAGTGTTCAGGGTTTAGGGGTCTGCAATTAATCTACAAGCCTTTGTATTTACATGATTTTCATAATATGATATTTCATTGTGGTTATGGTACACGACTGTTGATGGTATACATCCTACCTTACCTTAAGGACCCTAAACTACGGGAATTATGGTATATTCCTTGCTGTGGGTAATGCAGGATTTCCATCATCAGCCGTAGTACTATGCTCTGGTCAGTATACTGTATACTCTTATCATGCTAAACCCTAAACCCTAAACCCTAAACCCTAAACCCTAAACCCTAAACCCTAAAACTATTGTTGAAGGGAGAAGCCCGAGGAGGCACTATGTATGTGTTCAGGCCCCTGAATGGCCCAAAGGGTCCTATGTAGGTTTCAGGGTTTAGGGTTTAGGGTACCCTGTATGGGGGATACTTCCCTAAATCATGATTGTGCTTCCTAATGTAGAATCCCTCCATTCTGCAGTATAGGTATATAGGACCCTCTGGGTGATAGTTCTTTTTGGGGTGTAGGTTCCAGGGTCAGAGGACACAAGTACTGGGGGGGAGGGGACTGAGTTTAGCCGTTTAACCGATCAAAGTATCCTTGTCGCAAGTCAAATTCTGCAGGGCAGTGTTAATCTACAGCAAACGTCTTTGCTCACCAGTAGACAAAACTAGGACACACGTGTCACTTGCTGAACTCCTTGAACAGCACACTACGGAAGCTTGTCAACGCTGGCTGGATGACCCCTTCTAGGGGTTGGTAAACAAGGGTTTAGGGTTTAGGTTTTAGGGTTTAGGGTTTAGGGTTCAGGGTTTAGGGTTTAGGGTTTAGGGCTGAATAGACTGACTAGGTTTGGTGTTTCCGAAGCAAGGTGACTGGTGTCATGCTGACATCCAAGGCGACTTAGAGAAACCTTGCTCTATCGATACCCACGGATGGTTCACCCTGAGATGCTCCCCACAACACCAAGGCGAGGCACCGCGCAAGACACGCAATCCCGTAATGCCTAAATTGCCTGCATGGTTTAAGTCTAAGGTGTGTGCACAGGGCGTGGGCCAGGGTTTATAGGGTGAAGCAGTAATCAGGTTCTCGGATTGATGCCACGAGCCTGCGTCTTTAGGGTTTAGGGTATAGGGTTTAGGTAACAGCCGTCTGGGCCCAGGTGCTGTACCTCACGATCTTCCAAGCCATCGCGAGGGTGCTGGCCGTGAACCACGTGCTAGCCTGTTTATTGTGGCGCGTCTGGTGTTTCATTCTCGGTCCACCATTTGGTGCCCACGTCTGGAAAGGAATGCAGTATTTACGGTTTAATTTCTGGGCGGCGCATTCTCTGAAACCCCATGGTGTCAGAACGGTTTCTTCGGTTCGCAGATTGAAACTTATCCGGGTGTGTTTGCTATTCGAGGGGTGGGCTGAAACCATGTATAGACTGTGTTTATTCGTGGGTTGCGTACTGGTGGGGCCTTTGGTCGCAGTTGATGAGTTCATCTTGTTCAGGGGCTTTGAGCGTGGTCCTTCAGGGTGACCGAATCCAGGAAGAGGTGGGGCGAATCAGAAGTAATTACTAATTTGTCCGTGTATACTTACACTACAGGGTAACACCCTCAACTGAACTGAAGCGATGTGGGCTCCGATCTCGCAGAACTACGCCCAAACGGTAGCTTTTTTCGGTTTGCCTTAAGCTAAATAGTCGAGTCATAGCTGCCCCCAGCCATTTACAGGATAGTAGTTGGGTCCGACGGCCCTGCTATTGGGTACAGAGGCTTGCTAGGTTTGTCAGAGGATCCTGAGCATTTACCCTAAGGCTCCATTGTAGTTCCTTTTTGTGGTTTGTACTTAGGATCCTATAAGGTAACCCTGAACAGGAACTACTATATGGAGCCTATGGGTACGGTACTGCATCGTACAACAGGTATGGACTTATTCGCACGGTTTGAGCGGAGATCTTGTATCCTCTGTCGAGGCACCTATGGTTGTCTGGGTTTGACTTGAAATCATCGTTGGCAGGCTGAGGCTGATCCAGTCTGTGTTGGCTGCTGCACCTTCGAGACGGTACTAAAACCGATGTTGGGCCCTAGAACTCTCGCACCACATGGACATGAACCCTTAAAGAGCTTTTTGGTGATTCCCCACCTACGGAATATAAGATAGGGAATGAAGGCTCGAAAGCCCTGAAAAGGAAAACCGCACAGCTACCAATACATTCAGGTGACATGTCATACGTACCGTGAGGCTCCAATATTTAGTTACTTTTTGTGGTTTACATATGGGATGCTATACCCATAGGCCCCATAGTAGTTCCTTCTTGTGGCATATATTTAGGATCCTATTAGGGAATCCCAAAAAGGAACTACTATGGGGCCTATGGGTAAACCATGTAAATCAACCCCCCTAAACCCAAAACCCTAAACCCTAAACCCTAAACCCTAAACCCTAAATACCTGTGGGTAAGGTAATCCCCAAGAGGAACTACTACGGAGCCTCTGGGTATGTACCAGCCCGGATGCAAGCCCTGACCTCCAAGCCCCAACGTGCAACCGCAGGTTTAGGGTTTGGGATCTCGATTTAGGGTTTAGGATTTAGGATTTAGGGTTTAGGGTGTAGGCTTTAGGATTTCGGGTTTAGGGTTTGGGATTTAGGGTTTAGGGTTTAGGATTTAGGGTTCAGCTGCAGGTATTACGTTGGCCGTATCGGCGATGAAAATGGGTTGCCGAACTGGATCGTGCGCTATGGCGTCCGCAGACAGCAGTTGGTCACTGAACCCCAGACTGATAGTCAAGCCTGGTTGATTAAACCCTAAACCCTAAACCGCTGGTTTGCAATTGACTATAAAGTCACCCAAAAACCCCATTTAATTATTCAGATTCAGGCCCCTAAGGTACCTAATTCTAATGTAGAACACTTATAGAAGCCTTGTTTTCAGGCCTACACCCCAATCCCCGATCTTTGAAGCGGGCTTCATTCTCTTGCAGCCCCTCTTGCTGAGTTCTCCTAGCCCTCGCCCCAATACAGGCGACGTGGCTCGACGATAGCCTTATGACAACTCTTCTTCTTTTTTTGAAACCCCGAGGCCCTAAGCCGTAAATTAGAAACACTATGAAAGCAACTGGAACTCGTATGATCTGTCTTGTGGACTTCCTCTGCATAGCCCCGGGCCCGGAGTCTCCGAGCCCTACAAAAGCCTATGTTGAAGGAAATGTGTGGGCACATGAGCAAACCTAGAAAGAACCTGGACATGTAGGGCTTCCGGGGTTTAGGTTGGGTTTTAGGCCAGTGGTTCTGGGTTTTTGTGGCTTCGGCTGAACTTTGGCTTGCGGAGGATGGAGATTATTGAAGATTTGAAGGAATAGAATCAGGTAGAGGAAGCTCCGATCAAGGTGAAGGTACTGCGCCCTACTTGGAGGTTCCTGGGTAGTTACAAGTGGGGTGATAATTATTAGAGTAAGTACAGTTATGACCCATATCAAGGGACTTATAACCCTACTTATAACTACCCATGAACCTCCAAGTAAGCAAGCCTACTCACCAAGCCGAAAATAGACCAGACTGCTCCCAAGTGCATGAAGTCGGGGCAGATGAGTATAATTCCAGTATAGCTCACCCCATAACCTTAAACCCTAAAACCTAAACCGTAAACTCCAAGTCTTGAGGCCCCTACATTTCATCCGGTTTTAGGGTTCAGGGCTGATACCCACAGATCCTCAATTAAAGCATATGCCTAGAGCAAGGCCATGTGCAAGGTTTCGAACTGCACCTTAAAAACCCTAAGCTCTAAACCCCAGCCAAAAAATAAACTAAACGTTAAACCCTAACTATAAAGCTGAGACCTAAATCCGAAAAACTAACTACAAACCAAAACCCTAAACCCCTTCAACAGAAAGCGCTGACATCACGAGGTCTCCGACTTCAGCACAATATTCAAGTACATGCTCTGCTTCAACTGGGTGATTGCGGAATACACGCCTGCACCCTTCCCGCCTCTTGGATCCAAGCCATTGAGGCTTTAGGGTTTAGGGTTTAGGGTTCAGAGTTCAGGGTTAAGGGTTTAAGTAGGGGTTTGGGTTTGGAGTTCAGGGTTCAGGGTTCAGGGTTTAGGGGTTAGGGATTGGGGTTTAGGGTTTAGGGCTCAGGGACCCCCAAAGGTTGGAACATGGGCTTAGGATGTTTAGGGTTTAGGGTTTAGGGTTTAGGGTTTATACTGCATGAGGATAATGATGTTCCAACTTTCTGGCTCTAATAAGGTTCTAGAATTGAGGGGCCTAAGGTGTTTAAACGGGCCTAAAGTTTTGGGGGGGGGTCCTTACAGGGGTCCTTAAAGGGTTCCTTAAAGGCTTCTTTAGAATCGTGGCGAGCTCAGGGTCTTGGCATCAGGGTTTACGGAGGAATATGGTTAGACTGGAAGTATGCCTGTTGAATAACTGGTCATTCTATACACGCAGTGCATGTGCGGCTTTGAGATTTGGGTATGCAACATCAGGGGCCCGGTGGTTGAGGGCTGGTATGTCTAAAAGCAGCACTGTCACCTCATGACGTCCAACGTGATTTTTCGGTGAATCCATCCTCGGTTCAGAAGTTTAGAGCGGTTTTGGTGGCTTGAGGGTTTGAGGGTTTAGGGCTGATGGGGCCTGGCATGCTTTAATTACAACACTTAGGATCTCCCTGAGGGCACACAACACAACCCAACAGCTTTTGAGAGCATGGTACTTGATACCCAACCCTAAACGGCCCTAAACCCTCAACCCTAAGCCCAAGACCATTGGACCATAGGTTGCGTGGTACACCAGTTTGGGATGTCGGGCGGGGTATCGGCACGAAACCGCATCGGAAAGCACTGAAAGCCGTGGGACGAGGTATCAGCCGCAGAACGAGTACGAGCAGGCAAGATGCATCTGAACCCGACACTGCCTGAACACGATATGGTGGATGATATAAATCCTGCAGTACCCATAATAAGGATAATACCATAGTTCCCCCTGTTTAGGGTCCTTAAGGTAATGCGTGGTTTATACCATCAACAGCACAATATAATCCTTGGACCCCAAGCCCTAAACTTGAAAACCCTGAACCATCCGAAACTCCCAACAACAAACAACGGGGCTCATTTCGTCCGAACTGTGGGGGCCTGTGGCATCAGTGTAAATCCCCAACACGTCGAATCCCGGATTCAACCTTCAATTGCAGCTCGAAGGTGGTAAGTGAGTTTTGGAGAGTGTTAGTTGTCATGTTCTTGCCTTTAAAGCGGTGCAGCGACTATAGTATACGTTCAAAACCAAACGAAGCTGCATTCCAATCCTGTACCCTTAACCCCTAAACCCTAAACCCTAGGCCTCTATTTTCTGACTCCGACTCCGAAAGCCTAGCCCGAAACCACACACTGTCGAGGGTCCAGGTAGGCCTTCACTTTTTAGCGAAACCCGAAACTAAGTTTTAGCTAAACACGAAGTTGTTTAAGTGGGTCCGGACATAAGGGTAGCGAAACCTAAAGCGCTCAACCTAAGACCTGTAAGCCCGCCTGCACCTCATTCAAGCCCCTGCCGAGGCAACTTAAAAGGTAGCATCTAAAGGTATTTCTAGTTACATGTGCTTTATTGTAAGTGTTTCATGATTTCTGTGCACGGTTCTAAGTGTGCTTTTGACAACCCTACAAACTAAATAGACCCTAATCCCTATCTTCCGATCAAGCAGTTAACCCATCAACCAAACACCCACCTACCCACCTACCTACCCAGCTATCTATGTATGTGTCTGCCTATTTGTCTATCTACCTATCCATTATCCACTTATCCCATCCATCCATGTTTTGTGGATCTCTCTCTCTCTCTGTATATAATATTTATATACTGGCTAAATTATAGCGACCTCACCCGAGCTCACCCCGAAATGCTTGAAACAGCGAGGGTACCAAAATCACTATCCCCACCCGAGCTCACCCGACTAGGGTTTGGTTCTTGCCCTCCCGTGCCACTCGACGACCCGACCTGGAAATCGAAATTAAAGTGACCTAACCTCAAGTCTGTCGTTTAGTGGTTGGGGGGGTTATGGGAATGTGGGAAGGCTGGAGGCTGGCAGGCAGGGCGTTCCGGGTCGTGGGAAGGCTAGGCTGGGGAGGCAGCAGACAGGGAATCGAGGCGCGTTCCGTGGGAAGGCTGGAGGCTGAGCAGGCACCAGGCAGGGGGTTCCGGGTCGTGGGAAGGCCTCCGGGGAGCCACGGGCAGGGAACAAATTTGTGGTTCGGGGCCGTAGGAAGGCTGGAGGCTGGGAAGGCTGGAGGCTGGGGAGGCACCAGGCAGGGGGCTCCGGGTCGTGGGAAGGCTGGGGGCTGGAGCTACCGGGCAGGGAAACATGAATTTGTTGAGGCTCAACAAATTGCTTTTGGAAGGCTGGGAGGCACCAGGCAGGGGGTTCCGGGTCGTGGGCACCGGGCAGGGAATCCAAAATGAATTTGTTGAGGCTCAACAAATTGCTTGTGGTGGTTCCGGGCCGTGGGAAGGCCAGGGAATCCAAAATCAATTTGTTGAGGCTCAACAAATTGATCTTTGGTGGTTCTGGGCGGTGGAGGCTGGAGGCTGAGGCACCGGGCTACTAGCACTGCCTGCAACTATGCCAGTAACAACAGCAACAACTGCTGCTGCAGCTGCCACCACTTTCCACGACAACTAGTACTACTACTGCTGCACTATTCCACAACTACTACTCCTCCGCTTCTGCGACTTACTACTACTCCCCCTGAACCCTGACACCTACAACCCAGCTGAGCCTTGCAATACTCCTCCGGACAAAACTCTCCACTCCGGTGCTGTGGAAACAGCTCCGCTTCGCCGTGTTGGTGGCGGATGAGATGTTTCTGGCTCTCGCTGCAGGCTTTATAAGGTTCACGGTTTAGGTCTGATAGGGTTGAGGGCTGAGGCTGCAAACCAAGCTCCAAAGCCAACATCCCTTCCATTCCAGGTCGACCAAATCCTGAACACTTCAGGCCTCAAACCCTAAAGAAAGTACGTACTTTCATCCAGGATCAGCTTTGCACCCCGAAGTAG